TGTTGTATGCGAGACGTTGTGTGTGGGATGTTGTGTGAGTGATGTTGTGTGCGGGATGTTGTGTGAGAGATGTTGTAGAGAGGATTGTAGTAGAGAGGAGGAAGGAGGAAGGCGGAGGAGGAGGAGCGAGGAGGTGCAGCAAAAAAAAGAACCCCACACAACAATGTGGGGAAAAAGATCCTTTTCTTCGTCTCCTTGTCATTCCTTCTCTTTAAGGTCACCTCCAGTAAAGACAGAGACGATGACACTAAAGAGAAAGAATGGACACATAATTACAAGGAGATAAAGATAAAGAGATGAATGAAAGTTACGCAAGGCCGGCGTGGCAGGACAACATACAGAGAGTTCGGGGCCCGAGAATGAGCGAGCATTAGAAGACAGAGGGGGGCCCAGAGACGAGAGAGAGAGAGAGAGAGAGAGAGAGAGAGGGAGAGAGAGAGAGGAAAGAAAAAACTATTAAAAGAAAACAAATTGAGTATGACAGGAAATATAAAGACAAGCAACGAACAACGTATAGAGATGGTCAGCCGTCGGTCCCGAGCGCCTGAGGGGATCGAGTGAGTGCTTGAGAGGGGCTGGGGCCGAAGCAGTTGAGAGGTCGAGCCCCCGAGGAGTTGACGCAGCATTTGCTCCGGGAATGGGCAGTCTGGCTCTAGAAGTCGAGCAGGAGGAATCCAGCTCATGTGATGCGCCTGCAACGAGGCAGCCATTGCCAAGAAAGAAGAGGGCACAAGACACTGAGCACGAGAAAGACAAGAGGCCCCAGATTGCAATGGACACAGTTTCTAGAAGAGAGAAAAGAAGATGACAGATTTGCGTCGCGGGAACAGAGACACCCAGACATCTCCGAGCGCCCATATTCCATATAGACCACACAGTGCCTCGCTCGAGTTCCACCCAAAGCAAAGCAGGCTCCGCCGGGCTCCGCCACGGCCTTCTCTCGCTGCCACCACGCTGTACCTCCAACACCAAAAGCAACACCAGCAACCATGCCACCACCAAAGCAACCACTCATCTACATCAGAGACGAGAGTCTTCAGGTCCAGCGCAGCTCCAGCCCCATGGTGTTCCGAAGCCACCAACGCCGCAAGGACAAGAGTCCACAACTCAGGCTTCCGTCGCTGGACAGCCATTAACCAGCGCACAGGCGCCGGTACCAGACCGTCCACCACTCAGACCACATATTTTTCCGGAGTGGATTGGCAGTTCACCGACCCATATGATGAGAACTAGTGGCCTGAGAATGTTGAGTTGTGTGAATGGATGGAGAAGGTTTGTTTGGACTATACACCAACAGATTGAGATTGGGTTTTGGTATGCTGTGGACGCTCTGTTGTCTATGCTACCAGAACTGGTTAGCCTTTGATTGTTCATAGCGGTATGGAGTGTTGAGATTGAGTCCCGCAAGTGAGATGATTGTTTCACTGTAGTTGAGCACCCCTCCTTGCAGAAACGATTTCAATACGTCTCACATAGGTTCAACATGTCACAATGTGTAACAACATGCCGGCAGGGTAATCAGTGTCATGTCCGGGTAATTCAGTCTCCACTATGGTTGCTACGTTCTTTTTGTACAAACGCATGCGTGAGATGGAACGATGGAGTTGAAAATAAGTTCCTGTCTGTGTCGCTCGAATTGAAACTAAGTTTGAACAATAGTTTACAGTTAATTTCTTGTAAAGGGGGGGTGTTGAAATTCCTGTCACACCCACAGGGCATGTATAGATGCTGTACTGTAGCAACGGCCCATTCAAAACAGTAGAGCCCAGTAGAGCGAAAAGGTCCAGCTTATCGGTGCACGGGGCTGGGTCACCTCCCAGCCGGTGCGCTCAATCCTCATGTTCGGGTGAAGATCAGTTTTGGCCATACGGGTCAGTCATGGGTGTCACAGCCTTGGAAACAGTTTCCAAAAGTGCCATGCAAAATATATATAGAATTTAATCAAAGTCATCTAATTTGAAGGACCTGGGACTGGCGTTGGAGGGTTGTAACAATGGAACAAGCACCCACAGGCTCACGTGTCCTTTCTCCTTCCCGGGGACCAAGGATTTGATGAAAACTCTCACCGCCATGTGTGACCCGGTGGAGAGTAGAGATGTGGACCTGTCAGCCACCAGGGTGAGGTTTGGTCTGTACGAATGCATCTAAGACTTGAAACGCAACGATCAAGGACTGACAGAGCATATTCGCATGGCTAATGCTCTCAGCAGCCAACCTTCAGCCCCTGTTCCCCATTGTTTAATTTGCTTCCCTTCCACAATTCCTCTGAAAATGTTGGATTTGATTCGACATTGGTCACTCAAAGATGCCACGACATTTGTCAGCAAACTGAGATGACATAGTCTACCAAATTGACATACGGAGATTGGGGAGACTGATTTCGGCTTTGACATCATGTTGTCAACCCCTGACTTCCAATCGGAAGATGGGGCCTTCATCTTATGCCGGGTGGTGAACATACAAAAACAGTTGTTGATGCATTTGGTGTCTTAGGGGGTCACGACATGGAATCACGATGGATTTGGCTTTTCGGGGACGGGGCTGGCTCTGTATGCAGCCGTGCTCGCTGCTCGAGCCTCTGAGGTGAAGGGACAAAGATCGAGAGAGAACAACAGTTCTTGAAGGATCTGGCAATGGCATACCACATTTACTATCAGGACTGCAACAAGAGGTGAGATGTGAGAAACCAGATTGGCCAATGTTTAGTAGACTCAGGCTGAGTTCCACTTATTTGCTAAGATATCGTGATACACTGATTCCTTCATCATTCCAGCCAGAATCACAATTATAAAGATCTCAGTTTGCACTTTCTTTTGAGAGGTGCATGACCAAGCCCTCTGAAGGTTCTTGATTTTACTTTAGGGGGGTTGATGGAATGTATGCATGTTGACGGACTGCAAATTCTGTGTTGTCTCCCAAACATGTCTCCAGGTGCCTTCAGGTCATCCACTCCCAATAATTCACCCTGTCCACCCAGGCTTCAATCCGACTGTTCCCCCATGCGGTGTGAGGGCCAGCCTGTTCCGGACTTCCATGGCCTACGAGATTTCTACGCCTTGGCCAAAGCTTTGGCCAAGGCTTGGCCTAATGATTGGAATGCGAGGACTGGAGGGCGTGATTTGTTGAGATGAAAGCGTCACATGCGGAATTTCCATGAATTTCCAGGCTGCCCAATAGATTCGATGACCCCATATGAACCACTGAAGAATGTTGAGGGATGTATACATGTTGACCAATGGAACAACCCCTCTTCCGCAAGTGATGTCAGTGTTGACGTTTGAGCCATCTGACCTGTGCTGCACGCTTTTGCCGAGTCTTGTTCCAACGCCCATGCACAGGTATGCACAGGTCAGCCAAGACAGTGCACCACCCGTCTCATACCGTATACCCAAATGAGGAAACACCATGAAAAGCCTGCATCAACATGTGTGCATTATCCACAAAACCGACGTAATTACAAAATATAACATATTGGCGGAACACCGGGGTTAAAGGAACTTAATTTGCACAAGCAAAGTTGGTTTACCGAGGGCTCTCCCCAGCTGGTTGTACTCACCATCTTACTCACAAGGAAACCTTTGCTTTACATCCTGAGAGCGGATGAACCACCCAAGTGAATACTGTAAATGCAGAAGTGCAAGAGAAATGCTGCGACGACAGAAGATGGATCAACTTTGTGCCGTACAAACATAATGACATGTACAGATAGCTACCATCTCTGTGATGGAGTTTGCTACTTGAGGGAGATCTTACTGTGTTTCCTTCGATCACACCAAGTGGACAAAGACCAAACATACTCTTGGGGGGTGACCCTATATCAGTGAATGTCCATGCGGCCATTATATAGGAGCTATGTGGTCTTCCGGACCATCTCACAGAACTTCGGAGGGCTCCCACCGAGCGCAACAAGCTCGCAGAGCTCCTTGGAGCGAGGTTGCTTAAATGAAGAACATCCAATGCGACTCACCATTCTGCAACACATTGCAAGGTTTCCTTAGGTGGCTCCATCTACGAGTTCTTGATATGGCTGTGAGTCAAAACCGGAAACCGGGGACCCTGGTTGACCACGGAAAATGAACAGAATAGATCACCAGGGAGGTCAACCTACCTACCAGGGTTTTGAGGTTTTGGCCCGCTGCCATTTTGGAGATATTTCCCTGAATGCTGCATGCACAAAGGGCTAATTGCCCATGCTAGTCTAGAATCTCCAGGATTCAGGTCCTATCCAATGCCTTCTCTTTGTTGCTGTTTGGAAAGTCTGCATCTTTAGATGTCTTGGTACGTGCTTCGATGCTGGTGCAAACATATTAACACGTAGGTTGCTTTAGTTATTAAACATTATCCAAAGACTTACAAAAAAGGATTAATTGCCCTTGCGAATGCCCAAGTGGACCCCTGTAGACTGGCAGTAAGTCCGATTGCCAATCACATTGCACATGCCAAAAGATAAACTTCATGTTCTCCATCATTGTCTGTTTTCCGCCAGATCCTGCAGCTAAGGCCAGTATCCCGGACAGGCCTTTGCCCCGTGCTCCTTCCTTCAATCGCAAGGGGATCGGCTGATCGGTGGATCCTGGAGGCGAATGTCGGCGGCTGGGATTTCGACACCGGGCGTGCCACAGGGGTCCGACCAGGCTTTTTTGGCCACTATCGCCAGTTGCGAGGGTGACGATCTAACGTCCGCCTCCAAAAGCAAATGGCTGAATTGCAGGAATTGCTATTTTTTTTTGACATGCATATATTCCCCTCCAATCTTTGCAGCTGCAGCGGAGCTTCCAATGTTTCTTCAACCAACGTCAGTCAGAAAGAATGCTTACTGATTCAACCAAGAGTAGCAAGACTTGCTGGCCAACATGTACAGGGCTTGCACCCTGGGCCAAGATGAATCATGGATTTGAGAAGTATTCGTTCTGTGGGTCTGGACACACATTCAGGTGTTTGTTGTTCTAAATTAGACATACCCTGCTTTCTGGGCTTGTGAGGATGGTGAACTGTGCAGACTGTCCGTGACCAGCTTAGTGAGTGGAAGAGTCCGTATGTAATTGCTTGGTTTGCTCTGGACTACTTGACTTGGGTTCTATGCATTTTTGTCCTGGACCCACCCTTTAAAGTTAACCAAAGGCCGTATGGGCTGTATGTGGAACCTAGTGTTATAAGTTATACACATATTCCATTGGAAAGAGCGTGGCTTCAAGATTTCTAACAAGTCAATAAAACATCAACATTGTAGTCAGTGCACAAAGTCAACGTCACAAACAATTCAAATCAGAAAGTTTCAGAAAGTCAAAGAAGTCAAGAAAAAGTCAAAGAACAGTCAACTGGCCCAGTGCCGACTTTTTGCGATTTGTTTTGACCTTATATATATATATATATGTATTTGATGTCTTTCCAATTCTTATTTTTGTTGATTGTTTATGTCCGACATTTTTAACTTTTTGTTTGACTTGTTTTTGACGTTTCCATTCGATTTTTTGTGACTTTTTTTGAACAGGCTGTCCTGGCCTTACCATATTAATGTTTTATTTTCAAAATCTATATACATCTAGTGGGAAAGGGTTTGATGCTGGTTGATGCGTACATGAGCAAAAGATAGCAGGAGCATCGATTGATACAGCTCCAATCAGATGGAGGAGACTATTACTGTAATCATGATTGTAGCTATGTTGAAATCCAAAGGTGCGTTCTTGGTTGCCCTGCCCTGGATTATGTAAAGCATTGTGAAGCCTCAAGGCAACTGACCAGGATGACCAGCATGACCAGGTGACACAGCACTTGCGAGATGGGACACAGACCGTGTAGCTTCGTGCTTTTCTTTGAGTTTTAAAGTTGTTTCTTCTAAGAGCAGGGAATGAATTGGCAACAACCCTTTGGTCCAGCTGATATTCTGACTTGACGTAAACTTTTCCAGGATGCAACTTTTCTACAATCTTTCGTTGGGGATGACAATAAAGCCACAGAACAAGGTCAGTGTGGTGCAGATGCTGGAGAACAACCTCAGAGACAGGCGAGGGGGAGAGGGAGCTTCGGGAGCTTTGCTCAGGCCAGGTAGCCCTGCAACAAGGGATGGCGATGAGCACCCTCGTCTCTCAATGTACCAACTAGCATCAATTGGCTGGAGATGCTGAAAGCAGCCATTCAAAAGCAGTTCAGTAATTCACAATGTTTAGAAGACTTATTTTGACCCTTCTGTCCAAGCACCAGACACAAATTTCAGGCAACGGCAGCATGTTGCGAATGAATCACGCTTTCCTTGGTATGTTCTTCCCCGCTTTGGTATGTCCTCTCGTCATGACTCAAGGGTCCATCAAAGTGGATTGTGTGGAGAGTATTAATATGGACGATTTGGTGCATAGGTGTATTCTGCAATATTTTTGAATTGCACAGTATAAATGTTACGACTCTCGAAACAACGAATGTGGTTTCTATAGGATGTCCATCTTATCGCCACCTGTGAGATGCCTGTGAGCTTGCGAGTTGCTCTCCTGTTTTCAAAGAGGACAATACATTGGTGCGCAATCAGCTAGTGCGTAGATACACAGCCGGGCTCCTACATTTTCTGACAAGTCTACACGTTCTCAAAGCAATGCAGTTCCTCAGCTAGAGAGTATGTTGTAATCCAAAAATCATTCCTCACTTTCATGCTTTTTGAACCTTGTGTAGCATTCCACACAAACATTATCTTAGAAACTTGGGATCTGTCTATCATTCCACCAGGCATGCACGGCACCTGATGCTCGTTTGCCGGGGAGAAGTGGATGTTGCGTTGACCTTGGTCCGGCGAGCCGCGGAGAAGGAGCACCGACGCCTGGCGCCAGGGGAGAGGTCCTTTGTGTCGTGAGGGGTATTTGAGGCAGCTGGTCCGATTTGGAGGGATCTTGCAACCCTTTCTCAGAGTTTTTGGACAAACATGGACAAACTATGAGAACAGGGGTTAATTCTCGCAACCATTCTATTCTTGCAAACTATGGACAAACTATTCTCGCAACCATTTCGGGGTCTCCAGGACATGGTTTTTAATATGCTTCCTTTCGGCTCAAAGTCCTTGTTTTGCGATGGAATGGTTCACTATAATGATGGCTCTCCAACGAACAGCGCTAAAATTATACCCTAGGCCCTTACTGTATGTTTCAGTTGTTCACAGTTCACTAGTATTATGTAATATCTGGTTTTGCGCCAGGTCTTTTCCTCCCGAACCTGTGAAAGTGCAATGAACAGCTGTCAACAGGGCGAACGAAGTGAGCATCAATCTAACGCCGCTGGCACAGTCAACATTTGTGCGAATGCCGCTCTCAGGGAATCTGCAGATCATGATGGGGTCTACCTTCACGGAAGACCAAAGTGCTGCTGGCCTTAAGTGGAATATTTTTCTTTGGAACTGTTGCAACCCACATTCATCCCGCAGCTGGAGATGTCAAGGTGGAGGTGCATGGTTCCCTACGTGCTAAACATGACATCACGTCGTAAACCTTGCCATCACTAACAAAACAAGCAGAAAAGCAGACACGGATGCATTCAGAACCTACACGGATGCGATATTGACGTTTTGTGAGCAGAACCTTGCTGATTCCAAGAAGAAGAGCTGAGGACCACTACAGCTTTGGTCTCCTCAGGAGGGTCGTGCTCAGCATGGAGCGAGGAGACTTGCTGGTGATGCGAGCACTTGAAGCCATCCACGGCTCCTCGTCCATGGGAAGTTGGGTCGCAGAACATGAAAGCCATCTTGCATGCAGACCCCTGCGGATTTCGAGCAGGTCCGTATCCAGCTACTCAGGTGCAACATGCATCTGCATAGGTGCACATTTGCATACCAGTTGGGATTTCTCTAAGCCTCAGCATTGCCTTCAGCAAGAAACCACTGTGGTCCTCACATGTTGCGTTCCATGCTCCTCCCTTCGGAGCCAGCCGATCGCATCCGATCTTGACATCGGCTGGCTTCCCTCCACAGACTGATGGAGTGAGATGCACACTCTCTAAGGATCCAAGTACCCTCTCTAAGCTTATGAAGACATTTGCTAGGGATCCAAGTAACATCTCAGAAGGTGATTGGAGACACTGCTATGTAGGTGCCATGTTCGGGTCCAGTCGTACCTGACTTGAGGAGGTAACCTCCAGTGAGATGGCTCCCAGGCTCGCTCTATGATATGCTCAATATGAGCTACACCACCTTGGGCAACAAGCGGCACTGCCGGATTGCCCTTGGCCACTTGCCCTGGATGAAAACACGCAAATCGCATCAAGTGATTGTAGATCGAAGCGTTTTTGGTTTGTACCCTATAGTTCAAGCTACTCCAAGAATCCATACGTGCAGAAATAGATGAAATGATTCCATTCCGTTCGCACGTGAGCAAATCCAAGTTGGATGGGAGTCCGACCGCCTGCCCTTTCCCGCCCTTCATCTTCGCACCAGGCGACACCGACATCTTCGCGCAGGTGCACGAGAACTTCCGCTGCGTGGTCCTGCAGGACGCGGATCAGCTGCACCTGGCAGATGCCGCCTTCTTGAACCGCTTCGAAAAACATTACGTGGCTTGGACCAGGAAGACGAGGGGGAGGGTAAGACCAGGGTGAGCAGGAAGGTGGAGCAGGAGTTGACATTCATTTGAGAAGCATCACGTGACGCCAGGCTGTCCGGACACAGCCAGGCGTTCACGAGCTCCGACACCCTTATGGGCGTTCACGAGCTCGTTGATGAATTGGATGGACACACGCCGCAAGTCACCGGGTTTCGTTCCATATAATTAGACGAGAATGGAATGTGAGGACATATCGATCATATATATATATATTATTTAAAATACAACATATCATATCACATGGAGAACAGAATGCGCAAAGGTCCTTCCAGGTCGATCAGCTTCGTCGATACGAAGTCACAAGCTGTGCCGTTCATGGTCGATACGAGTGACCCTGAAAGGGCCGCCAGACAGGGCTAAGCCGCCAGACAGGGGTGACCTTCAGCTGAGAGCTGATCAGCCCACAAGCATGCATTATCCTCGGGCTAAGCTTCGTGCACATTCTACATTGGACATTGTTTGGATCCTACTCTAACCTAGCGACAGCAAGATCGTTGCAGCCGGCTGAGGTTTCCATTAGCGACATGGTGACGAGTCAGGTACATCGTGAGGCAGTGAAACAACTAGAAGGGCAAGCTGCGAGAGCAACCTCAGGAGATGCAAATTGACATGCAGGGCCCAAATCGGATCCTAGATTTTTCTATTTATACTTGTACTTGGGGAAGAATGTGTGCAGTACACATGTTTCTCTGAGTGGAATATAGACACCGACCGCAAGGATGGGAGCCCCGAAATGTTGGTCAGCCGCTTCCAGGACCGCGGCTGAACGATAAGCCGGAGGTGCAGTCCTTGTTTGCCGGTTGGGGGCCTGAAACCTCTGCATCCTTGATCAACTACGTGGCGGCAAGTAGCAGTGAGACTCTCCTACCAGGGCAGCTGGTGGCAAAGGCATGTGCGGTTGGTGCGAGCAGGTTGCGGGGTGGTTCGGATGGCGTGGGATGGTGGAGGGCGGACAGCTGTCCATTGCGCATTTGACGAATCTATCTCAGAAGAGTTTTCTTCGACTGTGGTTCACAACAGAAAGGGTTTGGACATGTTTAACGCGAAGTGCAGAACCATTTGCAGTTGAGTCTCAGAAAACTGTTTGTTGTCAACTCATGAGAGGTGTTACAGTTGTCTACTTTGCGAGTGAGGAGCTACTCACCCGTACTATTGGCGAGGTCCACCAAAAGGCTGACCCGATAATGGAGGAAGGTCTACACCCTCTAGCATCCCCTTGCAATGAGTGTATTCTCAGTATCTGCACATCCTATGTCATATGTCCGAAGGAAAGGTTCACACAATGCAGAGTGTTCAAGGGACGGAGGATCCCAGCTTTTGCGACAATTAAATACATTCTTTGCAACACCACTGGTTTGGTCTGGTTTGTACATATGTGTCTTCCAAGGTCAGTTTTCTGGTTATGTTCGACACTCCCAACGTCCTGTTTCCGTCCGCTTCAGGCATGGCACCAGCTGCTGCCTTGCGCCTCTGTCGACGGCATGTTGCGCGCCACCGAGCTGTCCCATTGGGCGCAGGATCTGTCTGTGGAGCCCAATGATGTCAAGGACCTGCAGGTTGGGCAGGTGCAGCCAGGTGCAGGTTGGCTAGTGAATGAAAATTCCCCAAGAATCCCTTCTGCCTTTCTTCCTGGTGAGGGCCACAGCCATCCTCATTCCATTTCTAGTGGTTGCACCGGCCATGAATCCATGAATGTATTTGTGGATATTGGAGGGAGAGATTGTTTTTGGGCGAAGCCACAGGAGTGGTCTTCCTTCACTCACTGTCACTACTGATTCTATATTATAGTCTATATTATATATTGTTATATTCTTTGAACGTCCAACATCTCTTGACACATGGTCACCATATGTGGGTCAGCCGTTTGCTAAAAACGCCAAGATCGACTCTGCGACGGGTCTTCTCAAGCACATTCTTCTTTGCAAGAATAGGCAAACGACCACCGACAATCCATTGAATGTGTGTGCCTTGTCACCATAAAGCTGAGGTTGTGTCGACCAACTATCTGCTCCCAGGAAGGAGTGTGAACAGCGTGTCACACACGGCTCTTGAACAACAAACTGAGTCTACAACGTACTGAAATTGTTCCTCTCTCCCACCCAACTGGACTGAGAGTTCATGCACCAATGTTCTCCTTCTTCTTGTCAGAGGCACTTATAGTTTGCCTTTTTTCTGTTCATTTTCTTCCACCGTGTTCCACCTGAATCTGATTGAATGTGTTTGTTTGGGCCATGTCTGGGCAACTTCTGGTCACTCTTCGCCAGGACTGGCGTGAGCAATTCTTTGCTCAGCCACAGTCGCTTCCCGATTGGCTCGTTGCCAACGGCTGGCAGGCTGCACCCGGTGAAGCTGCGATCCGCTACGGGGTGGTCCTTACGACCTCGCCGCTACAGAAGCTGGGACGTGTAAGCGGCTGGATGCGGCTGGGGTGGGGCTGGTACTCCATGGTGTAAGCTTGGGAGGGAGTATCAGGTTCTTTTGCTTCGCCCCAGATGAAGCGAACAAGAGCATAAGACAAGGATGTTTTGACATCTCAGCTGATTCCGGCATGCTGTGGCCCTAGTATTGAAGTTGACCATGGCAAGTAGGTCATCCCCAACCCCAACCATGAGCAATGCTGCTTCCAGGCCATGTTCACTTGCCACACATGAATTTTGTGCAACCCACACCTCGCCAACGTTAAGAGATCTGTTAGACTCTGCACAAGGAGGATGCACACCAAAAATTGATAATCCACCTGTACTAGTATAGAGACTAAACATAGAATTTCTGATGATATAAAGTGCAGTCAAACACTTTCCATATGCTCCACTGTTCAGCTGAGGATTGATCTGAAACAGATCTTGCACGATACTGTCCCAGCCTTCCAGTGCGTGGCCGTGGATGCGTTGACCTCTGAGCTGGACCTCAGCCAAAAGCCGCCCGCACTGAGCACGGCATCGCACGCAAGCGGGCGCGACTCATCGGTGTGGATTGACGCGGTTTGATGCGACTCATCGTTGGAAGTTGACTTCCTATTCAAGTATGTAATATGGAGCTATGTGTGCGTGGAACGTAGTGTTGTGGAAGTATTGGGTTTGGGCCTCACATGGTCTTCATGTGTTCGACATATGTAAGATTATAAAAGATATGCAAACAACCAGACACATCCAGAACCCCTATAAAGTTCAGGTGAGATTAGCATCCCTTTCTTTGTTTTTGTTATGAGAAGACGGTGCGCAGCGAAGACCAAACACCCGTCGTGAGGCTTGAGGACTTCAACGATGCTCAACTGCCTCCAGGCGTGTACAGGTTCTGTGGTGCGGAGTTGGACCTCTTGGATGAACTTATTTGGTCTTTAAACAGAGTTAACGACAGCTTCACTCCTTTGCCCGGGCCCAGGCACCACGTTGGGCGGGTTTTCCAAGATGTAGAGGCACCCAGGAATCCAAAGAGGGCGAAGTGGAATCATCCAACAATCTGAAAACCATGAAGCACTCATGAGTGTCGTCATCTCTGAAGCCGGTGCAGCCGCATTGCACCGTTGCTGGCTTCATGTGGACTTTTTACAGGTCACCTCCAAAAAAGACCCAGCGGCCCAATGCAAGCAAACATCGGTGAAACACCTCCACCAATCTGTCAATCTGTTCAGGACACACACATTGTTTTGCAGCTTGCAGTTCTTCAAACCAAACTCGCTAGGAGTAAACTTTTTTCATAAAGTAATGTTGGACAAGCTTCCTGCATGAGAGTGAAGCCCCCCATAACATCCCCCCTGAAGCACCTGACATCCGCTAACGAACCATGGGGTAACCAAGAATCATGAAGGTATGTCATCAACACTGAGTCCACAGTCCGCGGCCTCTTCCCTTGGCACCGCGACTTCAGCACCGCACCCACCAGGGGCGGTGCTGGTGCTGCAGCTCCGGGCCGACTCGCCGCACGTGGAGCTTCTGAAGCACCGCTGCGCTGAGCTCCGGGAGAATCGAAGGGCTTTGCTGCTCCTGCATGGCTCGAGGCGCTTGATGAGGTGCTTTGGACGGGACAAAGCTTGCAGGAGGGTTATATAGGTGGCTTGGGGTGGAGCAGGACGGTGTTAGCATTTGGGTGGATCAGAGTTCGTAGTATTTATAGATGTATTTAGATTGCAAAGACTGGAATTAGGGCGGAATGAAATCCTTTCATTGCAGTTGCGATCTAATTTCACCCTGAGCTGTTGTGAGATTATTAATTCGATGACTCAGCTCGTTTTGAGTTCAGCAGGAGCACCGGGTGGTTTCTAGCTGCCACCATGCCTGTAAGAGTTGATTGATCTCTCGTTTTACACAGAGCACCCCTCTGAGTCACAGCGCCCCTCCTTGTGGAAAGCTGGTGGGGCTGAATGGTCCTTCTTTCGTCGATGGATCAGAGATTGACTTGTCGCAGATAGGATAATAACTCTAGCATGGGTCCATGATCATCACAAACATGGACCTTTAAACATATATACATGACAACAACATATTTTATTCTTGACATAGAGGTGGTCCGGGCGGGCGGAGCCTCGGTGGTGCACGAGGGCGACTTGCTCGCCTGTGCACGCGCTTTGCTCGGTTGTACACGGGCTGTGTGCACTTCGATGGAGGAAGATAAGGAGCACGAAATGAATGAACAAATGATCATCATGTAGAACAATAAGTTTATACTGTACTTAATCAGAAAGTGAGCATCTGTGTTCACTAACCTGACCTAGCTACATGTCATGGACACACCACATCAACTCAATTTGTGTGCGCGCAGGTGAGCTAAATCTGTTTGCGCAGGTGAGTTTGTGGTACCAGGCACGGTTTGTATTGTTTTAAACCCATGTGTGTACAGGTGAGCTCATCCTGTGACTTTTCATGCAAGGCGGCTTTGAACACCGTTGACCCGGAAAGTGCAATCGGCAAAATGCTCACAGAGCAACAGTGTACAGTATACAGAATGGCAGCAAAGGTAGCAACTGCTACTGCTACTTTTACTTGTCTGTTGCTGCTGTGATCTGGAAGGCAGTGTTGGGGGATTGAACTCTTGAATTTGATAGTTGCCTTCGACGGGCTCATGTTAAGTCAGGCCTGTGAAGAAGGCCAGATTCATTCTGCCGCAGACAAGACAGCTCAATCGCATGCTTCCTCCGCATTTGGCATTTGCTCTCTTAGCGTCGTCGCTATGGGTTCGCCTGGGTCGTGAGAAGCAGGCACATCGAAGTCAGTTACAGTGTACAGATGTTACAGAGATTGTCTAGTCTAGTATTGCTGCATTGCCATCGGCAGGTCGTCCACTATCAAGCCGTAGCCTCAATATGTCAATTAGCTTTTTTAAAAAATGAAATTTCATCATCTTTCGCCTTTGCAAAGCCTTTGCTTGTGAAGCAGCTCAGGCGGATCTATGGTCTCCGTCTCCGTTTCCTTTGCCGCCCGTGGATCCAAGGCTCTGAGACGATCTCTACATGCATCTTCGCATGTCGAGCCTATGCTTTTCTCGCAGGACATCAGAAGCCCCGAAGGCGAAAGCACGGAGAGCTCATAATTTTCATAAATCCTTGAGCCACGGACACCTGAAGCCGATTGAGCCTGTGACCCAGCTGTTGCTGAATTGCTGACTATTGAATATTGAGACTTAAAAAAAGATGCCAGCCATGTTTAAAGCGCAGGAAGACTGCTCGCTTTTTTGGTGGGAAGCTGGGTGGCCAGTGGCAACCCCAGCGTTTGAGCCTCAGATATGCAAATGCACGGTCGCTGCCAAAAAACGAATCTGAAATCCGAAATCTTTTTCTGGGGCCGAAGGCTCTATATATATATATATATAAACCGAGCAAACATTAGCACAGATGCAAGTGCACTTTTGAAGCTTTACGCTTAGCAAGAAGGAGCTGGAACCGCCAAACCACGCCAAACCTGCCAGGTCACCAAAGAAGCCACCAATCGCGAGGGCAAGAAGCAAGCAAAAAAATAACAGATGAGTCATTGCTTTCAAACTGCAGCTTTTTAAAGCAGCGCCGGGCAAACAAAAGCATATCAGACCGAACCCAGCCAATCCACGCCATTTCCAAGCGGAGCCAATACTAAGCCTAAAATGAAATGCAATCCCGCGCCGGCTTCAGCAGAGACAAGACCTGCCAGATCAGTTCGTTCAGGTTTCCTTTTGGGCAGAGGCGCTGCATTCTCCTCCAAACCCCTCTTGGTTACTCAATCCAGGCCAAGCCCAAACCGTCCATCCACGCATCCATCTCTATCCCATGAAATCTTTCCCCGTGACATGTGAGGAGCTTGCTTCATGACATGCAACAGTAGAATAGAACGCCTTTTGCAACCTAGCTCGCATTTTGGAGTATACAGTAGTTGCTTCCAAAAAGTTCTGCGAGCACGCAGCGTTCTTGCGCCATGTTTCAAACTTCCAAGTGTGGATTCTTCTCTTGCCTCAGAAGCCGATGCATTCTGCAACATCTACCAGGGATTTGCTGGACCTGATTGATGTATCTCAAATCCTGGAGAAATACTTCCTGGCAGATCTCAACTAGTTGAAGACCATTGAAGACCACAAGAGAGGGACAGAGAGAGAGAGAGAGAGAGAGAGACACTGAACGTGACTGATCTTGCGTCGCCCATTTCATTCCTAGAGGCTCAGCCAAGCAGCTCTTACCATGTTTGGAGGAGTATCCAATAGCAACAGTTCAACCACTTGCACGTGAATGCAATCTTGAGAAGCGCCCATGAGTAAATTTGAGTAAACAAAACAGCAAAAACTGTTTGCCAAACCACAAACCATCATCGCCCGCAGTGACTTTCGTGACTGTTGAATTTTGCTTGTCAGCTCGTCTCCATGCACTTGCGCCATGTAATGTGCATCAATGTGCGCGGGGAATTGACAACTTGCTATGCTATTGTCATGTTTGATCTTGTTTGTCTTGTCAAATTTTCATGAACTATCATGTTTTGATGTTTTCTGATGACGGCCGAGTCTTCATGAAAACGTTCCCCTACCCAGTGTCGCGGATGCATCGTGGACTTCCAGTGACTGCACCACAGATGAGCTTGGCTCTCAGAAACTCTTTTCGAGTGTGTAGCCGTGAAGTGTAGAGCAGGTATCCAGCCGTGCCAGGTCCACTGAAAGCGCCCCAGCGGCTTCCATCGCCGATGCTGGTGCAACCTGGGGTGGCTGGGGCCTCATTGAACAGTTGCCTGTGGAGGATCGGCGCGTCAAAAAACAGGAAGCTGAGTTTTATAACATAAGCTGTCCCAAGATGTCCAAGTGGTTGGACGCCACTCACACATGTCTCCTATGGCGCCCGTACCCTCTTCTTCACCAATAGTGCGGCTCCATGCGTCTCTACCCATTCTTCACCTGCTTATGGTGGGCTTCGGTCAGAATGGAAAGGGTTCTTTCGCGAAATGCGCCGCTTTGAGTCATAGGAGCTTTGTCGGTTTGCGGTGAATTCATGTCTATCTTAGCTGCCCATAGATTTCAGTCCCGTGCCACTGAGGTGAGAATCAAAAAGAGTGACGAATGGTCTAATGTGGCCTCTTACCTTAGATCAGGTTGAAGTGGAGAAAAGTGGCTGCATCCGGTGAGATAAGATATTTTGGTATCCTTTGCAGGCAACGGTCTGGTATGCTTATCTGAACGTTTGCTTATTTATGCTGGCTACTATGCCAGACGGCTAGAAGCACCAGTGACCACTACCACATGCCTTGACCCAAAACCAGCAGTTTCTTCTTGTTTCTATGGCTGCGCACTGAATCTGAGATGTGCTTTCATAATAGAAATTCAAACGGCAAGCTCAAAATGCGATGCCTTCCCTAATCCACAGGCGTTGCTGGAAAGAAGATCCCTCAAATCGCGTGGAGCCGTCAGTGCTAGCATCACTCAAGAAGAACCTAGTTCTAACAATGAAATTCAGTGAGAGAACTGATGCAGTTTTTGAGCTGTTTTGAATACAGTATGTATCAGTATACAACATGTTCGGTGCTTCTTGCAAGAGTTGAGAGAAGTTCTGGCAAAGTCGACCATGCAAACGCCGGAATCCGTAGAAAATGGGCTCTCAAAAAGAGAGTTGCCATGTCTGGAGTCGCAGCAAGCTGATCTGCTCGTGTCGAAGATCCTGCTGTAAAATCGTGTATTTCAGCAGAGCTCAGTCAAAGTGTGGGAGATCGGAGTCATGAGTAACAGCTGAAAACAGAAAGGAGGAAAGGAAATGATATAAGAAAGCCGTCTCAAAATGTAATCAGCTTCTTTCACCAGGACTTGGGCAATCCCAACCTGGATGTGAATGGAGATGACGACACGCAGGCAGAGAACTATAGACATCATAGAACCATAGGGCCACAGCTGGTACTACACCTGATCTCATCTTTTCATCACTGGTCTTGTTGATCTTGTTGATTCGGGTGATCCTGGACTTTACCGAAGACGAGGCATCGGTACCACCTATTATCGCCTGGCAGATTGAAGTTGACGGAACCAGGACGTGATACATTGCAGGGCTTGAGGGCTTGAAACTTACGGCCGTCGCGCAAGACATTGTTAACAAGGTGTGTTAAGATTCGCAAGTCTGAGTTCCATTGGCATTCGGTTTTGAGCTTTTTGTGGAAGGTTCAGAAAATGCGGAAGGACTTGTTCTTTCCTTCCCACGTCGTGTCACTGCATCCTTTTTTGTGGAAGTTGATACATACATGCGTACATGCGCGCGCGTAAAGGCTTCTAGGACAAGGTTCTGAGATGGTGGTTTCCATCAGGGTGCGACTCTGCCACGAAAACACTATCCAAATTTCCGATTGGTATTTTGATTGGTCACACTGAGATCCATGGCCCTTTCTTCAACCCCATAGCTGTGAAGGCCCCAGATGTGAATGGATGTGATGATTTGAATTGCATCCAATTTCCATGAAGCAATGAACCACATGATTTTGCGTTTACCAGCTTTTATCCAACGCACGACTCGTACGAAACCAAGAAGTGGGTCAATGACAAAAGCATGTCTCCAAAGCATGTCTCGCGGAGGTAGCTTTGCAG